TATATTAAATATCTTGCATAAGACCATGTAGAGCTTATACAGAGCACGTAAACTCAGAAGTTGCCTTGGAAATATTAAAGCAATTCATAAATTGTGAACTCAGTGTAAGTCATCTTTGAAATATATTTCTTGGGGTAGGAGTTGTAGCGCAGTGGGTTCAGTTATCACTTAAGATACCTACAACCTGTATCTGAGTATGCCACTTAAAGCCTCAGCTACTCTGCTTCCAATCCATCTTCCTGCAAATGGGCCCAGGAGGTAGAAGATAATGGCCCAAATACTTGGCTTCCTGCCACCCATGTGGAAGACCTAGATGGTCCTCCAGGTTCCTGCATGTGGCCTTGCCCAATCCCAGATACTGTAGGCATTTGGCGAGTAAACCAGCAGATGGAAGATCTCTGTCTCTCTCTTTCCATCACTCTGCCTTTCAAATAAATAAACCTTTGACAACAACAAAAAAGACATTACTTATATAGTATTTGGCTCAGAAATACAATGCTATTTAAGTGAGAAAGAACAATGAATTATTGTTCAGTGTAAATGAATATATTTTACATACATATAAAATTTTGGATAATCTTAAAATATTAATGTTGAGAGAAATAAGTGTTGCACAAGACTATATATAAAATGATAACATTTTCTCTAAACAAATAAAACTAAAACATTTTCAAATTTAAAATCTAGCCTGACATATATAACTATCTTTTTCAATAATTGTTTATTATGGATAAAAGTAGTCCAAAGATTTTTTTCAATGTACACATTAGCTCCCAAATTAAAAAGGCTTTTTTTAAAAAGAAAAGATTTATTTATTTATTTGAAAGTCAGAATTACACAGAGAGAGGAGAGGCAGAGAGAGAGGGCTTCCATCGCTGGTTCACTCCCCAATGGTCAGCAACAGTTGGATCTGGGCCCATCTGAAGCCAGGAGTTTCTTCTGGGTCTCCCAAGTGGGTGCAGGGGCCCAAGCACTTGGGCCATCTTCTGCTGCTTTTCTAGGCCATAGCTGAGATCTGGATTGGAAGTGGAGCAGCCGGGACTTGAACCTGTGTCCATATGGAATGCCGGCACAGCAGGCAGTGGATTTACCCACTATGCCCAATGCCAGCCCTAAAGACTTGTATTTTTGTATTTATTTGAGAGGCAAATTTATATATATATACATACATACATACATACATATACATATATATATATGTGTGTGTGTGTATATATATATGTATACACACACATACACACACACAGAGCCACGCTCTTCAGTGTTCATGGGAAGGGAGAGCTCCAGTCCTTGTTGCCAAGCTTCTTATGAACTCGGAAAGGGGAGTGGTCAGGAAGGTACATCCTGGGTAGTGGTCATTTGATTGACAGATGGGAAGATAAGATTATATGGGGAATGGGAGGAATGACATCCAGCTCCTGGCCCTAAACTAGCTACTTGCCTTGTCTTTTATCATTATCATATTTAATTCAGTTAACTTAATGTTTAACGTGTGTGTGTGCGTGTGTGTGTGTGTGGAGAAGAAGAGAGAGAAAGAGATCTCATCTGCTGGTTCACTCCCCAAATGCCCACAATGACGAGGTCTCAGCCAGCACTGTGCCAGAACTGGGCAAGGGCTGGGCCAGGGCTGGAACCAGGAACCCGGAATGCAATCTGGATCTCCCAGATGGGTGGTGGAATCCAATTACTTGAGCCATCAATGCTGCCTCCCAGGATGTACAGTAACAGAAAGCTGGAATCAGGAGCCAGAGCCAGGACTCAAAGCCAGGTCCTCTGATGAGTATTGCAACAATCTTAACTTGTGTCTTAACAGCTAGGCTCAGCACTCACCCCTAGAAAAGGCATTTGTTTTTTATTTGACAGGCAGAGTTAGACAGTGAGAGAGAGAAACAGAGAGAAAGGTCTTCCGTTGGTTCACCCCCCAGATGCCCACTAAGGTAGACGCACTGTGCAGATCCGAAGCCAGGATCCAGGTGCTTCCTCCTGGTCTCCCATGCGGGTGCAGGGCCCAAGCACTTGGGCCATCCTCCATTGCCTTCCCAGGCCACAGCAGAGAGCTGGACTGGAAGAGGAGCAACCGGGACTAGAACCAGTACCCATATGGGATGCCAGTGCCGCAGGCGGAGGATTAACTAAGTGAGCCATGGCACCGGCCCGAGAAAAGACATATTTTAATGGGATCTGGTTTAAAATAATTTGATATGAACGAGACAGAAGTTTGGAAAATGTGGCTTTGCTCGGTTTTGCTTCAAAATTTGGACTTTTAAACTTATTGTTAGTCTCAGAAAGAAATAAGAAGCAGTGCAGATAATTAAACATTTGCCTTGGGGGAATTATTTGCAGTTAATTAAAACCACAACTTCGGGTATACACTTGCTTCGGTGATTATTAAATCTGAATCATATGTTAACTACCCAGGTTTCTCACGTGCCCATCAAATATTGCTCATGGCGGTTTCAAGAAATAAACTTTTTCATAATATTACCAACAAATCATATTGTTCAAAGTTATTTCCCAGTATTGAGGATGCCTTAGGGAGGGAGGGGGAGAGAAGCAGAGGGAAATAGAGAAAGGATGAATTACTTCAGAGTCCATCTGATTCAGCTCTGTTAGGAAGTTAGAACTCAACTGAGATATACAAACTCAGTAGAGAATCAATTTATAAGTAATAAAGATTTCATCCTACCATCTTCACTTCTAAGGCCTTATGTTGACAAGAGTAGCATGTGGCTTTTAGAAATCTTTAGATTATTCCAGAAAGAAAGAAAGAGAGAGAGAGAGAGAAAAGGAGGGAGGGAGAGAGGAAGAAAGGAAGGAAGGAAGGAAAAGAGAGAAATCTACTGAATGGTAAATTCCGTGATGGCAGAGATTTGATATTTCATTCTATTGGGTCTTCAGTATCAGGGACTGTGTTGACATAGAATTGGCCCCATTTGTCCTCCTAGTGACCTTTTTAAAAGGCTCTTTCAATGTCTTTTGGGCTTTTTTGGTAAAGATGTATGTATGTATGTATGTATTTGAAAGACAAAACAACAGAGAGAAAAGGAGAGAGAGATCTATACTATCTGCTGGTTGACCCCCCAAATGGCTTCAGTAGCCAGGTCTGGGCTAGGCTGAGGCTGGGAGGCAGGAAGTCCATATGGGTCTCTCCCGTTGGTGATGGGGGCCCAGACATGTGGGTCCAGCCATCTGCTGTTGCTTTCACAGACACATCAACTGGAAGCTGGATCAAAGCGAGGGCATCCGGGACTCAAATTGACACTGTGACATCACAAGCAGTGACTTAACCTGCTTCTCCACAATGCTGGCCCCCTCTTTCAACACCTGATTTTTTTAAGAATTATTTATTTCTTTGAAATTTGGAGTTACACAGAGAGAGAAGGAGAGATAGAGCAAGAGGTTTTCCATCCGCTGGTTCACTCCCCAGTTGGCCACAAGGAGCCAGGAGCTTCTTCCTGGTATCCCACGTGAGAACCGGGGCCCAAGGACTTGGGCCATCTTCCAATGCTTTCCCCGGCCACAGCAGAGACCTGGATCGGAAGTGGAGCAACTGGGACTAGAACCAGTACCCATATGGGATGCTGGCACTGCAGGCAGCTGGCGGCTTTACCAGCCACGCCACAGTGCCTGCCCCTCAATGTCTTTTAAAGGAACCTCCAGAGAGACTTTCATTTTCAATTAGAAGGAACTCTAGTTTTGCAAAAGTCCATAATCATGGCATTATTGTAGCTATTGTTAGACCTTCGGAGTGAGGATGCTAACACGTCGAGAGGCACACCCCAAAGACTCAGACTCCAGACCAGCTGATGCAAAAGCAAGAGGATTTATTTGGCATCTGCGCAGACGGGCCTCCTGAACTCGGGAGTCCAGAGAGCACCCCCAGCACAAAGCCACACGGTTTATATACCCGCAGCAACCAATCAAAAGCACTATAGAGTCCATACACACAGCAGTCCAATCCGTGAGCTGATCATGTGAAGGGCATGCGTCTTCTATCCAATCAGCTATGGGATCACATGGGAGGCATGCACCTCGTCGCCATTTTGTTGTTTACTTCTTTAATAGTTCCTTTCCCTGCCAGTGCCATCTTGTTCACCCTGGGGGTAGGGGGCGACGTCTCGCTCCCTTTGTTCCCCTTGTGGGAGAGCGGGGTCCTGCTTCCCACACCGTTATTTGAGTATTAGGAGGCATACAAACTGGGTTAGGTCTTAGCACAGCCAGGCACAAGTGTCGCAGCTAGCTAAGCATAGGGTCCCTTATTTTTATAGCTGCACCTAATTTTAGCTTTGGGGGAAAAAGTTTAGGGCTGTAATTTTTAAACTTTAATTTTTTATTTGGGGCAAAGGTAACTTCTTGTTTTTAATAGTGTTAGCTTAAGTCACTCCATCTTGGTTTGATTTTTAAGGTTCTTCACTATGTCATTTCTTGAAAAGAAATTTTAGAATACAAAAGATGAATGTATGCTGATTTGACATTGACCTGTGCTGTATGAAGGAGGGAATGATGTTACAGAAAACAGAAAGTTTGCATTCCCTCATCACTCTTGTTCAACCAGTATGGTTCCAGACAAAGACCACTGGATTTCAAAACTCTAGGTCTTACTTTTCCAAGGTCTCAAAGATCCCATATGTGAGCAATCACAAATAAAGAAGCAGGAAAAACCTTAAAATTAGATATGCCCTTAATCTTCTCTATTCTGCCTCCCTTTCATATCCTTTCCCACAATTTTAAGACTGTTACAATGCATAAAGTTTGCTTATATTTTCTTCATCACAATAAGGTGTTCCAACTCTATCTCTGCCTTTGTATGCTTTGTACAGATACTTTATGCTGTACTTCAAGAAGAGCTTATTTACTGATAAAAGAGTTTAAGCTGTCTAGTGGTTATTTCTAAAATTAAAGTCTGTTCTTTCAAACATAAATCTATCCCCCTGGTGCAGGAAGCTGCTCTAATTCCCTGTTAAAATTGCTGACTCAAGATTTTGCTTGTTTGTTTTTAGATTCTGCAAAGGATGAAAACATCACAAAAGACAATGAAATAACAGATCATTCTGTGTGTGACCACGAGCATCCCAGTGGTGAGTTGTGAGATCATTTTTCAATTCTTTTTTTATTTCCTGCTGGAGAATATTACATTTTAAAAATTTAACACTTTCTGGAGAAAACTGAATTCCAATAATATTTTGCTAGTGTTGAATGCCAACTGATTGGTAGCTGTCATCTTTTTATTTAATTATGTTTTTTTGGAAAGCAAAGAGACAGAAACAGACACATAGGCAGAGAGCGCCCCTCACCTGGTTCATTTCCTAAGTGTCCACAACAGCCGAGGCTGGACCAGGCCAAAGCCAGAAGCTGGGAAGTCAATCCATATCTCCCAAACAGATGGCAGGAACCCAACTCTTAGAGCCAAGTCTGCTGCCTCCCACAGTCTGCCTTAGCAGGATGGTTGTATTGCAAGTGGAACAGGCACTCAAGCCCAGGTACTCTGATAAGAGAGTGTAGACATTGCAAGTAATGGCTTAACAGCTATACCAGACTCCTGCCCTATAGTTGCCATCTTTAGATAAGGCTTTTGTTCTCCAAGATAGTCATCACTCATTATTTTTGTACAGGTTTGGCTTCATTTATTTAGTTTGCTGTTATTATTATTATTTAGTTTGCTGTTATTATTATTTAGTTTGCTGCATGAATTCCATAAGCGTTGTGTTTGCAGCTACTGAAATGAATACATAACAATGAGAATGAAAGGAGACATATGGAAAATAAACCCAGGGAATGAAATCTACATAGGCTTGGAATACCAAGAAGGGAGAACAGAATAAACACGAATGAAGTAACCTTCAGAAAAGTAACAAAAAAAATGTTTTCCTAATGCAAACAATTTCTCTGCCCAAAACATAAGAGTACACATAATATTTATAAGCAAAGATAATGCAGATTCAAATGAAAATAAAACCAACATAACCCCATGGAATTTTTGAAGATCAGTGATAAAGAAAGGCTTTTAATACAGAAGAAAGTCAAAATCAAATTATAAGCAACATCACCACAATTGAATTAGGGCAACATTTCCAAAGCACTAAAACAGGCTTTCTAAAATTAGCAAAATTACTATTCATTCACCAAATCGAGAGTCGTATTTTCTCTGGAATGCAAAGATTAAGAAAATATGCTACCCAGGTATCCTTTTTGAATAAACTAACAGGAGACCTGTGCAGAAACAATAAATTTAGAAAGGAGCATAAAATAAGACTGAGAAATGAACAGTTGGAAAGATGAAATTTCTCATCAGAAACTACAACTACATGCGAAAATGTGGATGGATCTCAGAAAGAGAGACCTAAGACTAACTTCCTTAAAGGCAAACTCAGAACTAAAACAAAACTCCTCCTGTGCTGTGGATTCTGCCAATATGTGACCTTTAAAGATATCATTGAGGGCCGGTGCCGCAGCTCACTAGGCTAATCCTCCGCCTGCAGCGCCGACACACCGGGTTCTAGTCCCGGTCGGGGTGCCGGATTCTGTCCCGGTTGCCCCTCTTCCAGGCCAGCTCTCTGCTGTGGCCGGGGAAGGCAGTGGAGGATGGCCCAGGTGCTTGGGCCCTGCACCCCATGGGAGACCAGGATAAGTACCTGGCTCCTGCCATTGGATCAGTGCGGTGCGCTGGCCACAGCGTGCCAGCCGTGGCGGCCACTGGAGGGTGAACCAACAGCAAAGGAAGACCTTTCTCTCTGTCTCTCTCTCTCACTGTCCACTCTGCCTGTCAAAAAAATATTAAAAAAAGATATCATTTAAAAATTATGTGGTAATCATAAATGGAATTAAATTCCAGTAGGATTAAAAAGAGATATCTTGCTTTCTAAATTTCACCAAAACATCATAACATAAGAATAAATTCGGTGGAGCACATTAAAAAATAAACTAGCAGTGTAACAAAGCATAGTGTACCAAATAAGATGACAGAAGCACAAGCAAGTAGTTATGACAGTAAGTGTAATTAGGTGACTTTATTAAGTGTAAAAACAATTCCAATAGAGTTAAATGCAATAAAATTATAGAGGTTTAAAAAGTAGAAGTTTAGAAAAAGGTATATTTGGGAAATGAACATCCATAGTAAGCATGAAAAACTACTTTAGAATATCTGTAGTTATAATACTGGCCAAAAGTCTCCACTGAGAAAGACTTGGGACTTGGTCATTTTTATTGAAAAAAAATCTCTAATTAAATATATTAGCAATGTGTCAGATGATATGACAAGGTGCAATACAAATAAAAACCTGTTGGAAATGCAATGGGGAATTCATACATAGAATATTATCCGTCAGTGACAGAATGAATAGACTAAAAATGACATGGAATGTTTGAAAAATGTGATTAGCAGGGTAATCCTGCTGCAAGAATAGACAGTCTGATCAATGAAATAGACTAAAGAGTTTAGAAATAGACCCAAGTGGATCTGGATTGCAGTATATATTCTGGCTGACATTGCAAAGATAGATGACTCAATAAATGGCATTAAGACAACCGGTTGGCCATTTGGAAAAATAAGCTGAATCCCTATCTCATTCCTTATACCAACATAAATTCCAAGAGGAGCAAAGATGAAATGAAAAATGAACTATAAAAATACTAGAGTTAAAGAACCAAAGGTTATAAAACTCAGCACTAAAATGAAATGAGCTATCAAGCTACTTAGAGATGGAGGAAGCTTAAATGTACATTACTAAGTAAAAGAATCCAAACTGAAAAGACTGCATCTTATGTGATTCCAATTACATGACATGCTAGAAAAGTCAAAACTATGGAAACAACACAAAGATCCATTTCCATGGGCTGAAGAGGAGTGACAGGTAAGACGAGCACAGAGGATTTTTAGCAGAGTTAAAATAATTCACATGAGACTCATAGTGATGGGGATATGCTGTTGGACATTTGTCAAAAGCTGGAGAATATACAGAATCAAGAGTGAGCCCTTGGGGCTGGCACTGTGGCGTAGCGGGTAAAGCTGCTGCCTGCAGTGCCAGCATCCCATATGGACACAGGTTCAGGTCTCGGTTGTTCCACTTCCAGTGCAGCTCTCTGCTATGTCCTGGGAAAGCAGTGAAAGAGTGGAAGATGGCTCAAGATCTTGGGCCTCTGCACCCGCATTGTAGACCTGGAGGAGTCTTCTGGCTCCTGGCTTCAGATCAGCACAGCTCTGGCCTTTGCAGCCATCTGGGGAGTGAACCATTGGATGGAAGACCTCTCTCTCTGCCTACCTCTGCCTCTGTAACTTTGCCTTTCAAATAAACAAATAAATCTTAAAAAAAAAGGAGTGAGCCCTAACATAAGCTATTAATTGTGGGAAATAATAGCATGACAATGAGGGTTCATCGTAGAACTCTGATGAGGGGAAACTTGATAATACGGGAGACAGTGCTTCTGTGGAGTGAGAGGCCATATGGATGCCTCTGTGCTTTTCAATTTTTCTGTGAGCCCAAAGTGTATTAAAACATGAAATCTAATTTTAGAGAAGAAAGTTTGCTTTTTAAAGCATGTGTAGAACAGGTGTTATAAAGTACAGACGTACACATGTGCATCTGTACTCTATGTGTGTAGGTGTACATCATTGTGTGTCAGAAAGAGGCAAATGACTAAATCTGAATATACAGTGACATAGTAAATAAAAATTATAATCTACTTGTAAAGAAAACTGGGGAAAATATTCTCACCTAAGGAACAAAAGAGTTCATTTTTCTTATTAAAGCCCTGAGAAAAAAGTAAACAGCTTAAGAGAAAAATGGACAAAGGATTCAATTATTATAATTCACAAGAGCAGAAATACATTCATTATAAATATGAAAAGACGTCCCATACCTTTATTATTAAAGAAATGTAAATAAAACAAGACTGAAGTATGTATTTTTGAATAGCAGATAAGTTTAAGTAGAATTGAAAATGTATAAAATCTGTAGGAGTAGGGTTTCCAAAGACACACACACACACACACACACATAGTTTGAGACTACCGGATATAATCTCCTTACTAGCAATTTTGGCAAAATCTAAAATTAGTCAATGTTCATACTTTGTTCATGCTTCAGGAATTTATTGTGAAGTAGCATTCACCAAGAAGAGGGAGAGATCTAATCACAAAACTGATCATTGCAACATTGTGCTTACCAACAGAAAACAATCAAGACACAGCCAGAAATTTAGAATATTATGCACCTTTCCAAAATAAGATTTCTAAAGAAATTATGGCGGCAATTGATGATGCTGATAAAAATATGAAATGAAAAAGCAGGAATCGAAGTGTAGAAATGTTTCATTTCCAGGATATATTCATTTATTTGCATATCTATGTATGTGTGTCATTCACATAGAGATGACAACTCACAGTGTTAAAAGTGACCATCCTGGAATTGTAAAAGTATCCATAATCGTCAATACTTTTGTGGATTTTAAGTCTATCTATAAGAAAATTGCATTTCTTTTGTAACTCCAATATAAGAAAAAATAGCTTATACTAGGCAAGTAAGTTTTCTGGCCTTAAGATAAAACCAAATGTATCTAGTAGATAATCAAATCCATACTAATTTAGATTTAAATTTTACTCTTAATTTGAGATATTTGGGGACATGGAAAAAGTAAAATTTTGAAAATCAGCAGCAATCAACTTTCAAATTTAACAAAAATAAACCATTTCCATTATCTCTTTTAGATAAGGACCAAAGAAAGAAAGTCTTGGTTCTTATGAAAATGTGAGCATTTAATAACCTGAAAACAGTAAAACTATATGGTTGTTGCTTATTTCAACAGTAGTCCATTTACAAAATGAGTTTAGGCTTATCCCCCAGAAATGCGTAATTCCAGGCTGATGTCCCAAGACCAATTTTTATGCAAATTAACTAAAGCTAAAGTGTTGGCTTGAGCCAAACTTAATTACCAGGGGTCCTAGAAACAATCCCGTGATCTCTTTCTAAAGAAAAGTGAATGGATTTTGGATTATCTGTTCTAATGGTACCCTCCCATTAGTAAGGATGATTGAGTTCACTGCAAGAAAAAAAATATATATTTAAACCGTGGAATCCTTTGT